CCCCAAAACCCCAAAACCCCAAAACCCCAAAACCCCTGACGAGCTATAAATTATTGAAAATAAACACGATAATGTCTGAAATTTCAAAGAAGAAGGATTATATTACCTTTAAAGGAGCAGTAAGATTTGATTTTTATATTTTTCTCCATAGGCCTGTATTAGACAAGCTCTGCAATTCTCGATTCTCTCAGGAAAGCCTGTTAAAATTAGCGAAATTAGAAGCGAAGACCTTGATCCTGGAGTCAACGAATACGAGATGAACCTTCTCAAGTTGATTGAAAAGGTAACCAATGGAAGCATAATCGACATCAATGTATCAGGAACCCAGATCAGGTTTACTCCTGGAGTGATCACAAACAATAATGGAGATGAAGTGTTTTATACAAATGAAGAAATGCAGACTCAAGACAGATGTCTTACATATTATCTTGAATTCCTACTCCCAGTCGTGCTGTTTGGTAAAGCATCCTTCTACGGGGAGTTCACTGGTATCACTAATGATAACATCGATATGTCTGCAGATACCTTTAGAAAGTAAATCATAGTATTAAAAATTTAGCTGTCTACTGCCAATGCTAAAGCATTTTGGAGTTGAAGGAGCCACAATGGAAATCAAGAAAAGAGGACTATTCCCAAAAGGAGGAGGACACATCAGTATTACTGTTCCTTACATTAGGGAGTTAAACTCTCTCAGTCTGACAGATGAAGGCAAGGTTAAGAAAATTAGAGGAACTGCTTACTGTTGTATGAGAAATAATGAAGTCAATACCAGAGTCTTCACTTCTGCAAGAGGAATACTTAATGATTACATTCCAGATGTCTATATCTACACTGATAATTATAAGAAGGATAAGTGAGGGCTTTCCAAAGGATTTGGAGCTTCATTAGTTGCAGAAACTACGACTGAATGCCTTATCTCTGCAGATGCTATTCATCACCCAGAGCAGACCTTAGACCCAGAGAAACTCGGCGAATCAGTTGCTATTTCCTTACTTGAACAAATTTTCAATAGTGGAGTTTCAGATGTAAGGATTGCACCTACAATTGTTCTTTTAATGGGATTGAGCAATGCTGAGAACACAAGTGAGATCAAGCTCCCAAGTATTGTTTTTCCTAACATTCAGGTAACATAATTCAAAGTGATTACATGATGAATACTCTCAGGTATCTCAACAAATTCTTCTCAGTCAAATTCAAAATTTCTGAGTGAGAAGACGATGAAAGAGACTCTGAGAGCGATGATAATGAAGAAAACCCCAAAACAGGTAAAATTATGAAAATATTTTTAGAGGAAATCACTGATAAAGATGATGATCTATATAAGAAAGCAGACGAGATTCCAAGACCAGAATTCCATATCTTCTCGTGACTAGGCTTTGGACTCCAAAACATGGCGAGGAAAACAGAATAAATTTGCATATAATTTCAATGTGAGAGATTTATCATGGGGTTTTGGGGTTTTGGGGTTTTGGGGTTTTGGGG